GGGTTATTCCTGTGTAGGTTTCCCCATATTCCACATTCATGGGTCACTCGTATATTTTTGTTTTACTCTCTCCCCATTTTTATTAGATATTCCCATGTCAGTAAAATTCAGTTCACAATCCACAATAAGATTTGAAATATTCAATTCTATTCATTACAGTTCATTTATAGAAATAATGATCAAATCCATTTCAGTTCAGTTCATTATAACTGAAAATTCATGGGGAACTGTGTACATTTTCTTCTCAGTCATAAACTGTATATTTTACTGCTATTTATTACAGTCTATTCATGAAAAATAATCAAATCCATTTCAGTTCACTTTATCATAACTGAAATTTCATGGATAACTTTATACCTTTTTTTCCCCTAAACTGCATATTTGACTGCTTGTTTGAGTCACCTTTAAGCAGTATTGTCCAATATGGAATTCTATATTATTTTAAACCAGTTCATATACATAAAATATAATTCAAATATATATATACATATATACATATATACATATATACATATATATATATATATATAATATATATATATATATATATATATATATATATATATATATATATATATATATATATATTATATATAATTTTTTTTTTTTTTTTTTTTTTTTTTTTTTTTTTTTCCAGTGTTGGTGTTATTCCTCTGCCTCCACGGGTTATTCCTGTGAGGGTGTTCTCTCTGTGCTTTCACGGGTTATTCCTGTGAGGGTGGTTCTTTCTGTGCTTTCATCGGGTTATTCCTGTGAGGTGTTCTTTCTGCGCTTTCACGGGTTATTTCCTGTGTTTAAGTGTTCTCTTGCGCTTTCACGGGTTATTCCTGTGTTAGTGTTCTTTCTGCGCTTTCACGGTTAGCTTGAGGGTTGTGGTCTTTTCTCGCGCTTTCACGGGTTATTCCTGTGAGGGTGTTCTCTCTGCGCATCACGGGTTATTCCTGTGTTTAGTGTTCTTTCTGCCTTCACGGTTACCTGTGAGGGTGTTCTCTCTGCGCTTTCACGGGTTATTCCTTTCTGCGCTTTCACGGGTTATTCCTGTGAGGGTGTTCTTCTGCCTTTCGCGGGTTATTCCTGTGATAGTGTTCTTTCTGCGCTTTCACGGGTTATTCCTGTGAGGGTGTCTCTTCTGCGCTTTACGGGTTATTCCTGTGTTAGTGTTCTTTTCTGCGCTTTCACGGTTATTTCCTGTGTTAGTGTGTTCTTTCTGCGCTTTCATGGGTTATTCCTGTGAGGGGTTCTTCTTTCTGCGCTTTCGGGTTATTCCTGTGAGGGTGTTCTCTCTGCGCTTTCACGGGTTATTCCTGTGTTAGTGTTCTTTCTGCGCTTTCACGGGTTATTCCTGTGTTAGTGTTCTTTCTGCGCTTTCACGGGTTATTCCTGTTTTCACGGGTTATTCCTGTTTCTTCTTCTCTGCGCTTTCACGGGTTATTCCTGTGTTATGTTCTTTCTGGCGCTTTCACGGGTTATTCCTGTGAGGGTGTTCTCTTGCGCTTTCACGGGTTATTCCTGTGTGGTGTTTCTTTCTGCGCTTTCACGGGTTATTCCTTGTGGGTGTTTCTCTCTGCGCTTTCACGGTTATTCCTGTTGTTAGTGTTCTTTCTGCGCTTTCACGGTTTTTGTGAGGGTTCCCTGTGGTTAGTGTTCTTTCTGCGCTTTTCACGGTTATTCCTGTGAGGGTGTTCTCTCTGCGGCTTTCACGGGTTATTTCCTGTTGTGTGTGTTCTTTCTGCGCTTTCATGGTTATTCCTGTGAGGGGTGTTCTCTCTGCGCTTTCACGGGTTATTCCTGTGAGTTGTTCTTTCTGCGCTTTCACGGGTTATTCCTGCCTGTTTCTTTTCTGTGTGTTCTTTCTGCGCTTTCACGGGTTATTCCTGTGAGGGTGTTCTCTGCGCTTTCACGGGTTATTCCTGTGTTAGTGTTCTTTCCTGCGCTTTCACGGGTTATTCCTGTGAGGGTGTTCTCTCTGCGCTTTCACGGGTTATTCCTGTGTGGGGTTCTTTCTGCGCTTTCACGGGTTATTCCTGTGAGGGTGTTCTTCTGCGCTTTCACGGTTATTCCTGTGAGGGTGTGCGGTTTTTTCTGTTTTCAAGGTTCTTTCTGCGCTTTCACGGGTTATTCCTGTGTTAGTGTTCTTTCTGTGCTTTCACGGGTTATTCCTGTGAGGGTGTTCTCTCTGCGCTTTCACGGGTTATTCCTGTGAGGGTGTTCTCTCTGCGCTTTCACGGGTTATTCCTGTGGTGTTCTTTCTGCGCTTTCACGGGTTATTCCTGTGTTAGTGTTCTTTCTGCGCTTTCACGGGTTATTCCTGTGAGTGTTCCTGCGCTTTCATTATTCCTGTGAGGGTGTTCTCTCGCGCTTTCACGGGTTATTCCTGTGAGGGTGTTCTCTGCGCTTTCAGGGTTATTCCTTTCTGCGCTTTCACGGGTTATTCCTGTGAAGGTGTTCTCTCTGCGCTTTCACGGGTTATTCCTGTGAGGGTGTTCTTCTGTTTCACGGGTTATTTCCTGTGAGGGTGTTCTTTCTGCGCTTTCACGGGTTATTCCTGTGTGTTCTTTCTGCGCTTTCACGGGTGCTTTCTGTACGGGTTATTCCTGCTTTCACCGGTTATTCCTGTGAGGGTGTTCTCTCTGCGCTTTCACGGGTTATTCCTGTGTTAGTGTTCTTTCTGCGCTTTCACGGGTTATTCCTGTGAGTGTCTTCTTTCTGCGCTTTCACGGTTATTCCTGTGAAGCGCTTTCACGGGTTATTCCTGTGTTGGGTGTTCTTTCGCTTTCACGGAGGGTTTCTTTCTGCGCTTTCACGGGTGTCTTTCTGTGCTTTCACGGGTTATTCCTGTCTCACTTTCAGGGGTTATTCCTGTGAGGGTTTTCTTTCAGCGCTTTCACGGGTTATTCCTGTGTTGGTGTTCTTTCTCTAAGGGTTATCCTTATAAGGCTGTTATATGCTGGTAGAATCCACCGTTCAATTTACTTCAGCTTGTTATTCTTTTTAATTATTTTTTTTTACCCATTGCTGTACTTGATTTCACAATCAACGAGGCATGGTCATTTTTTTCTTTGTTTTATACTATAATGCAGATTTGTTTTTGTTTTTTTTTTACTTTTTTGACATTGCTGTAAGTATTTTCATTAGTAATGAAGCTTTTGGAAATTCCATAAGTATTTTTACTAGGAACTTTGTTTTTTTATTCTTTATATTACATTGATTTATATTACAATTTTGTTGAGAGACTTTTTTGCATCACGTATGTTATTTTATTTATTATTGTTATTTAAGATATTATCTGTTAGTGCCTTTAAGTAACCTCTATTTATAGTGTGTGATAGCTAACATTATCCCTGGTGGTATGGCGATACCAGCTTTAATCTTATATTGGATTTGAAGTGCTTTCACATATTAAGTAGTGTTATTAATCACTTTAAGGCTATGTAATTTAGGTTTACTCTCCCTGATCTTTCAGTTTATACAAGTTCATATGACTCAACTAATTAACGATGATTAGGAAATCGTATGAAATGTGTTTAAATGTTTGACGAATTTATATGAGCTATCTTTCGTGTTACACAAAGCTTTGAATTCAGAATAGTAATGTAAAAAAGTAATTGTGTCATGTATCAGATGCATGCTTGACTCGATTTATTAAATATACACGCACCATAGTTATCCATATTTTGTATGTAATAATAAAGCATTCTGTAAGTGAATCTGTTTTTTAACCTTAAAATTTATCCTCTACACTCGTCATTTTGGCAGAGAAGATTGTAGTGAGCATCTGAAAAGTCCTATTTGATAATAGAATATTTCTACCAAATAAATCAGTTCACATATAATGTTCAGTGAAAATACGAAAGTAGGTGCAGTTATTCATACTAGAACCAATTGGAACTTGTAATGGTATGTTCAACTTGTGGAAGGACCGGATGAAACTGCATAAAACACGAATGAAAATAATGTAGTAGTCACTATTTTTTTAAGGAAGTGCATGTATCAGTAACCGGATGCGGAGAAAAAGAGTATGATAATGCATATTGTAACAGCGAAAGAAACGGACACGACTGATTTCGACGACGTTTTCGTCAGAATTACATACAACAGCTAGATGTGAAACCTTGTCTACATTAGACGTCATCTGAAGAAAGAACCGACCTGCCGCTCATTACCCGCGTAATTTGAAGCTGTCCTACAAGTCATTCGCATTCTCTTCACGTCGCCATTTATGCGGGTTCCATTTTTGTTTGTTTGTTTTTTTCTTCAGTCTCCCATGGATCACATTTGCACGCTTGCAGTCAGGTAAATCCCCAGCTTCTCCAACGTCAGTGGTTCTGAAACAGGGGTTACCCATTGCTTTAGCTGAAAAATTACAGGAAAATATATTTTTACATACGCATGTTATGTGTGTCGCGCAAACAAAGAATATATGCTTTGTCAATAAAGTGGATTTGCTATTAGTACACATGAAGTCATATTTGCAGTGTATCTTTCTTTATTATTATTTCAACAATTCAGGGGCTGCGAAAATTGACTGCTGATTTTAAAGGATGGGAACACTGAAAAAAAAAAATTAAGACCACTGCCCGACTATAATAGCATTGGATGTTCTATGGTGACGGACATTAGTCGGACGATCCCGGATCTTGAGATTGAATTAATTTTGCTTTTGCTGCAGGGCGATCGGAACACGGTGCTGTTGGGCAGAGCTGCTGGCTTTTGCGTAGCAGCAGTTCTGTCTTTATCTAAATACTAGATGATAGAGAAAACGGATATAAATAATAATATTGGGCCATACACTATCATAAACGGATGAATATTAGATTACAGTTGCAGTAGGATCAAAGTTTGGTTATTATAAGCTTCTCTACGTTACTTTCTTGTTTATTGCACTGCATAAAACAATATGCAATAAATACATTACCAAGCCAGTAATGTAACATTCAACAACTTAAAATGCACCTGCATCTGTATATAGAAAATGTATTATATGTATAACCTAGAAAATACGATATTGAACCTGTAAACTTGATTTATCAAAGAAAGTATACGACTATTCAGTGAGTGTGTTGTAGGGCTGAAGGTTAAAAAGTCACTCTGTGGGAGCCACAGTCCCATAGAGTGACTTTTGACATAGAGTGACTGGGTATCACCAAATGGCTTTGGTGATACCCAGTGAGAAGACCAGCTGAAGTGACATCGAATGAAATTTCCGCCGCGATGACGTTCTGTCTGCCACATCATATCAGTTCGTACCGGGATGGTTTCAGCAATTTTCATGCTTAACTTATTTGAACATGGAAAATATCTCAATATTGTTTTAAACACTTTTCTTTGGCATCGAACCATCTGTAGTAATACAAAATAACAAAAATACGGCCATCGGGGAAAAAATCCGATGTGACATCATCGGAGGTAAATAAAGAATATTAGATAAAACAATTTCTGCATGAACATCAAGTAAAGAAAATGCCAAGAAAATGTGACATTTAAATGTTGCTCATGAGTCATGGTCGGTGGTGTGCTTCAGTCGATGCAGTAATACGAAAATGAGCTAAATATAATGTGGAAACGCCCGCTGGTGACATTAATAATGGTTCATAAATACATTAAATTATTTTTCTTAACCTCTTTACTATAGTATGGAAAAAATCAAGTAAAATTTCTCGTGAAAATTTATGACCTACAAAGCCTTGAAGACGAAATGTGTGCGCCAGAAATTGGAATATTCTAAAGCACAGGCAATGTACAGTGTATATGAACAGCCTACCATTTGTTGTATATCATGGCGTTTTATTCCCTACCACTGAATGAGAATATTATCTTCTACCACTGCACGAGAATATGGCATCCTTTTATAACGTGTCTTCGAAAGTCTCTAGGTATTATATTCAAGGAAAAATGGCAGTAGCCTTGTTGCATTTAACTTCTCTGATCTGTTTTGTGTCCGTTAACGCTGTTTGTGCCACTGTAATTGATTATGTTTAAAGGTTAAAACAAATAAATATGCTGGAAATCAAAGGCCAGATAGTACTGTGGTAAAGTATAGTAGTGAAAGGGGCAAAGATTTTATGAGTAGGACAAACAGTGCGAAAAGGATAAAGATATCATGGTTAGGATAAACAGTAAGATGTAGAGCGCTGCTGGATAGTACAGCAGTAAAAAGGGTAAAGAGGGAGGGGGCGGCAAATGGAGTAAGGCGGGATTAGTACAAGTGAGTAGGAGGTTAAGGGCGAAGGGCGATTTGATCATATTGAGAGTATCTATGCGTCTGAGGAAGGAAGAGGAACATTGTGTGAGGAGCGGTGAATCGTATCCATGTTGACAAATGTAGAAAAGGTATGAATGAGACTGGATATCCTCACAATACAAGAGATGTATTTGACCGGTTTCGATTACGTCTTCATGAGAAATACATGATGAAGACGTAATCGGAACCGGTCAAATACATCTCTTGTATTGTGAAGATATCCAGTCTCATTCATACCTTTTCTTCGTGAGGAACGGTGTTAAAGCCACTATAAAGCAATCAAGGGGTAAAAATCGGTAGAAATGGGTGTCGGAAAATAACCCGGGGAAGGAGATAAAGGAGGTGAAGTAACGGGAAGAATGTCAGAAGGCGAAGGATCCGGAGGACACTTCTGACAAAAGGTAATCACGTGACTTTATCTATAGGAGGGAGTGGAAAGGATAATGGGTAAAGGGGGGTGCAGATGGAAAGGTGGAGGAAGATGGTAAGGGGATATAAGGATGGATATCGGCAATTACTTTGAATGTAGAGGGAATTTTAGTTGATTGGAGGGTGGATGAGAGAGGGGCGTTCTCTTGTCATGATTTAGAAGTTTCTGGAGGGGAGTTGGGTGGAGAGGTCTGAGAAAGGAAGGTTTTTTAATAAGAGGAGAGAGGTGTCCGAGGAGCAGAAGAGGTGGGTGTAGGAGAGAATGTGGTAGAAGATCGAGTGGAACGTTTAGACTGACCGATGGGACAGGTAAATGAGAAAGGGGATAGGCATCGGGAAGTCGTACAGATTGGAGTGTCTGCATTTAGAATGGTAAAAGAATTTGAATGGGATAGGGGGTAGAAATACTGGGGGATATGCTGAGACTTCTTGGGAAAAAGGGAAAGGAGCTGATCGAAGGACAGCGTTGTAATAGGTAGCGAGAGAAAAACCTCGGCTTGAGAGAATTATGATGACAGAATAGTTGCCTACAGAACGACAATGGAAAATGCAGGGAATAACTGGTTTGCATTGTGTCTTTGTAGGAGAAAGATTATGATAAGGTGCCTAGAGAGTAGTTATGGCATTGTATGAGAAAGTCGGGAGTGGCAGTAAAGTATGTGAAAGTAGGAAGGATGTGTATGAAGACAGTAAGACAGCAGTAAGGTGTGTAGCAGGAATGACAAACTATTTCACAGTGAAAGTGGGACTACACCAAGGATTGGCTGTGGGCCCTTTTTTTTCAGTAGTAAAGGACAGGCTGACAAGACTGATGCAAGAGTAGTCATGGACTATGCTGTTTGCAGATGATGTGGTGATTTGATATGAGAAATTGAAAAAGAGCTGGAGATGGAAGGATGCACTGAATACGAAGGGTTTGAAAGTAAACAGGACCAGATTGTGGAACAGAAGTGAAGAAGATAGTTCATGCTGGAGAGTGGCTGGAGAAAGGTGGCAGGAATCATGTGACAAGAAAGGTTTCCACAAGGACAAGACAGTGGTGAGGCCAGCAATGTTGAACAGCACAGAGACAGCACTAACAAAAAGACAGGAAGCTGAGCTAAAGATGGTGCATTTTACTTATGTAAGAGTATATGAGACAGGGCAAATTTAAGAATGAGCTTATTAGATGGATAATGCATGTATGCAAGTTGAGGGATGCAATTCAGGTCTGGGCACATCAAAAGGAGGGGCAATGAGTATATCTAGAGAAGGATCCCAAGAGAGAAATTTTGTCATGCAATCTGATACCAAACCAATCATAAAATGCTTTATCACTTGTAACACAGATGTTCGCATTATGGGAGCCTCAACCTAAGCATCCCAGAGACTGACATGTGGCCATATATATTGGCTCCTGCATAGTCATAGATTACTTGCCCCATAGCACACCTATTGACTATATCCCCTCCATACCCATTAGAGAGAATTCTTGGCCATAGTACATGAAATCTTTTGGTATTTGCGAAATGCAGTACAACTATTATTTTTTTCATTTGAATATTTACAATAATCTAGCACATTACTTTACCTACTAATGTAAAGCGAGATTATGACCTAGATTTAAAAGGAAGGGAAGAGAATGAAGTCATCAAAACACATATATTATTTAGACTTTAACTTCAATGTCTATAAATATCCATTTATCACAAAGAAAACTTTGCTCACTTGGCAAGACAATGGGTAAAAAGACCCATTAACTTTTAGCCTGAACCAACTATGCTACAACAAAATGAATGAGAACTTGAAAGGTTATGGATGAGCGTAATCATGAAGTTCATATAAATTTATTAAAATACTGTATATACACAATACATCCTTCCTGAAAACTAAATCAGGCACATAATGGGTCAACACACCAAGGCTTAGTTTTATCATTTTTTCTATATATTTATAAAGCACCCATTCAATCCAAAACACAATTATTTTTATATGAATAGTAAATATTTTATGATACCCAATTTGTACATGTAAAAATATTACAATAAATATGTAACGATACTGAAAATTATACAATAGTAGCTGCTGTGCCTAATGTATAATGCGGCTTATCTGCTAAAAGTGACAACTGAAGGTCAAGCCAATGAAGGAGTAAAGCTGTGATTAGAGATTATCACTGGTAATGGTTAAAAGCATAAAAATACCTTTTTCACCCTTCTATCTATATAATAAGCATTGCTAGTTAATAACTATGATGACTAATGAGAGTTTATATAAAAATAATGACCCATCTAATTAAAGCAGTAAGCAACGTTTTTACAAATACAAAAACTGAACTCCACAAATGTTATAAACAAACAAAAACAAGAAGGTTGCATAATATAGAAAGACAATTCATTAATGATGAAGCATATAATATACAGAATATACCAATTGCATATCACAGTTTAATACAATATATAATTGCAGACACTATAAACTAGTCCCCCTGCGCTTTTGAAATCATTCGTTTTGTCTCATAGATTATGGTCTAACTGTGTGGCTGATGTTTTGCACCTAGTCTGAAATTTATTGACCTTGTTTTGTAAATGACTATATTTTGCTTCTTCCACTGGGCTTCTTACATACTGTCATACTACACTGTAGTCCATTATGTGTAACAGATACTTTGTTTTTGTTTTTTTTTAAGTGAAAACAAGTATTCTTAAGCAGAAGAAATATAAATCCCTTTTCTCAAACCATTTACTTTATATAGCATTTGTTATATAAAAGCAAATTAAATCAGTAACCAAATAAAATAAAAATGATCAAGGAATTATCTTGCCTCATGAAATATAAGGACTGTTCATTGTCTACATTTTGATCATAAAAATACTTATTCTACAAGTCATGATATATCCTCTCTACTTACCAAATTCACTGGGAAAATTTTCATTCATAGGTTGCTGATTATCAATTCTTTTCACACACAAATGGTTAAAAACATTAACGAAAATTCAGTGTCTTTTAAAGTTTCTTCAATCTCATTCAGGGTGACAAGATAGATCTTAATGCTTGGATTATTTTACAAATCATCTGCTTATCAATTTAAATGTTCTAACAAAAATTTATGTAAAAGATGAAAAAATAAAGCATAAAAACATTTAAAATATACATTATATGTCTATGCCAATGGCCTACCACAGTTAATATTTGTTTTGCACTTCTGAGACAAATTAGAAAAAGGGCATGGTATAAATAAATTTATTCTACACTGAAAATTCTAATAAACACAAATAAAGTATTTGAAGATTCAAAACCTGTTCACAAAGGTGTTATGATATCAAAATTTTAAGTACTAATCTACTTTGAATAAAGATCTTCACATTCTTCTTCTTAATGAAATACTAACCATAAGTCATAAGACCCTTAGCTGAGTAGTGAGATAAGAGCATCAAAGAACTTACTACGGTCATCCACACTCAGTCGTATAACTGTTGAGAAAACCAGACGACAGATTAGATTAGCAGTAAAAAACAGGGTGAAGGCAGTCTACTACACGTCAATTATATCCATTCTCACAATTTGAAGTTGAAATCAAGATAATCAAGTACAGTACTTACTATTTGTATCAAAAAATTCTAATTCAGCTTTGGAACCAGTTTTATCTGCAGCTTGTTCAAAGGCTTTTCCAAAGAAACTGAAAAGGAGTGGATATTAAGAACCAACTGTCATTCAGTTCTTTAGAAAGGCATTTCACAATCAGAAATAAATTACTTTCATACAGAAACTTAAGGCAAGACATAGAAAGAAGTAAAATTATATATAAAAAAAAACTTTAAAACATCACAAATAGTACTACTGCAAGAGTTTTTATCCAACATTTCACTAAATAGCAATTAATGACAATACCAACAATGCTGGAAAAGAGAAATAAAATGGTTATTTGGCAAAATATAAAAAAAAAAAAATCAATCACTGGTCATCAAACCTTACAAAAGTGTCTGATGATTTTTTGTCATTTTTGCTACTGTGCTTCTATGACATAAATGACCCCTGCATACTTACTTTCTTGGAGATTCTTCAGAGACCGGTGGAATTCCACAAACAAGACACATGTTAGACTCGGAGGTCTTCACATCTGGAGTTGTAATGATGAGCGGCAATGAGCGAGACTTCTTACTTCGAGATATTGCTACGTGCGCCCTCAAAGTAAATCGCGCTAAGAGGGAGATGCAATGCGGGGAAGAAAAGAACTTGGCATCTGGAGTTCCCTGAAAATAATAGTTATCAAGATTAGTCCCCACATTTTTTTCTCATGTTATATGTGACCTTTCACCGCAAAATGAGCTGGATTTTGAAACTGAATGAAGTTAAACGCTTTTAAATATCACTGACACAATCAGACAGAGAGAGAAATTAGCTATGAAAAATAAACTAATATATCTTTGCAAAGTATTGTCCTTGCACTCCCTCATATCTAATGTGTTTTCACTTTGTAATAGTGCAAATGCAATGAACATTCAGTAGAATCTTAGTGACATATAGCATGATACTCTTTCAACACAGCTTTCTATCTCCCACATAATCACAGAGACAATTTTTATAGGTATTGCCAGTATTTAAATAATGTGTTAGGTTGGATCTAGATAAAACCTTAGGTGACTTTGTGTAACTGTAACATATGTATTAACCCCCCACCCTTTTTAAGCTAAATAGATTTAAAAAATGCAATTTTTTGTAGAACTGCATCTACTCAGTGACCAAAACAAGGGCAAAACAAGTAACTTGGTGCATTATTAACCTAATATTTTCAATATATGTTTTGTAAGTCAAGGAGCATCTCTAATCCTCTCAAATAAAAATCATAACTTCAAGACTGTCTTTTCTAGTTATTTAATTTTACACATAAAAGAAAGATACTTCTCAGCAGAAGACAAACCTATATACACGGACACTGGATAATCAGTAAATATTAGTTATTAATAAGAAAACATCAAATTTCATAGGATTATTTCATGTTGTGTAATATGGGTTCACTTGCATGTATCCTTGAGTGCAACAATGACGGAATTACCAGTTAATGTATTTTAGGCAAAATATTTGGTCAAGTTTAATATCTTTAATTATATCACAAAAAACAGTATACCGCATACTTCAAATACCTCAATAACAGTAGCATAAAGGAAAGGTCCTGCAGATATCACTTGGTTCATGTCAAGGAATGTTTGCATTTGCCGATACACTGCTTCTAGCTGCTGTTTGCTGGTTTCGATGCCCTTCTCCAGCAGCGATAATTTCGTACTAAAAGTTAGAAATTATGCCTTAGTACCATACCTGCTACTTAAGGTAAGCGTTAATATTTCACATGAAAATACGAATATTCACTCCAACTCAATATCATCAACCTAATAATTTAACACTTACATGCTAAGGCTATCTGAAACATCCAGAAAGGCATCAGCTGCTGTTTTCTCATCTTCCGGTGTCTCCAATAAAGCTAATGTTGCATACACATAGTCCGAGGCACTGTATTTACTTCGAAATCCATGTGACAAAGTAAATGATGCAAAAAGAAGATTGTCTAAACCATACTTTTCTGCCTTTGATTCTAAGAGGGACTGAAGTTCCTTACGAAGTGCAACGTCCATTCCGCAGTATTTTTGCTTGCACTGCGACAAAGGAAGTCTGTTGAAAATCAAATAAGGTTATTTTAAACAAACATGAACTCAAATAGTTAAAGTATGAAACATGGAAGGTAAAAAATGTGCTGTATCTAAAATTAATTTTAAACATTTTTGCACAAAATGACATGAAATACAGCAGTTTAACAACAATAAATATTAGGCTTTTTTATATCATTAAATATTTGTATTTTGAGTATTCTGTCATTATATAAACATGTTCCCTGCCAAAGTTTTATATTATATCTATTTACATAAATTATGGCTGCCTATTACATCTAGGAGTCAAAATATACATGACAGCTTAGTTTTTTGTGCTGATGCAGCCATCAAGGATGGTAAAATAGTACAGGGAATGTTACCTGCTGTGTATCAACAAAAATGTCTAAATGGCTTGTGTGCTGTCAGCTACATTCATCAAGGTTTATTAAAGGGTACAGGAATGCTGGATGTACAAATGCAGCCTTCCAGAGTTGGCAAACTCTATGTCAATTAGAAAGCAAATGTCCTGTAGTGTAAGGTGGCTCTAATCTGCTGACAACTTGTTTAAAAGCCATGAAATTATCAAATACAAATAAACAAAAGTAGATAAAATTTAACAACTAGTATATTTGCTAAAGAACAGTTCATTCTTACAAGAATGCATAGCCTTAATCAAAACGGACCATTTCTATAAGTTACCTTTTTATCTCCAAAAGCTTTTTATATAATGAGAAATAGTGTGCACAGTACACTGGCTCTTGATCACTGAAAGATAATATTTCTAATTTCCACGGTGACCAATGACCAGTGACTGATTTATAAACAAAGAGGCGTGCACTGCAAAAAGGTAACCAAGAGTAAGGAAGGAAGGAAAAAAATAAATAAAAAATAAAAGCACTGCAGACATGCTCTCACATACGAGTCACAAAATGCATTCCTTACCCCATTTCTGCCAGAAGCTCATGCAGTCTCTTCTCTCCTTTCAAGGTCCACAGCCTCAGAGTGGTGGCAGTATAGAGTGAGTGTCGCATACTCTCCACTAAACTCCAGTGACGATAAAGGCCCAGCTGTAATCTACAAATTGCTAAGGAATATATCTCGTATCAAGTTGATAACTGCATCAACAAGAGATTCAAAATGCTAATGCTGAATGACTAGGGAAGCAAGTCAATATAATCTTGGGTTTCTTGATAATAAATGAATAAATAAATAAGCAAAAAAAGACAGGAAAATGGAGTTTCAAAATGTTAAATTACAGCTAAACATGCCAAACATGTTGAAGGTAAAAAATTATTGGAATTTTTAAATATTCTAAGATGTCAATTGTTCAGGATTTTCTACTTATTCTAAAATATTTTGCTTCCTAGGCCTTTCCATTCTATGCTCCCTTTAACCTTAACTACAATATGGAGGAAAAAACTATAAATGGTTAATATTATCTATGATCTGCTCACATATAATATAATAGAGGTTTTAGGTAATTTCTTGTAAATCACTATTTACATTTGTTTTCAATCATTAGCAAATCCCAGCAATACCTTTTGAAAACTTTCCCACACTATGAACATTTCCCTCTGTATAACCACAAAAATATATGTTACATACCCAAATTTGAGAAAACTAGATTACAAGGACAAAGTAAGACCCTTATGCCTTGCAAATATCACTAAATTCTTGTTTTGCAGAAAAGAAAATTGTTGGGAACGACTATACCGAGAAGATAGGGAAAAAAAATTAAATAGATAAATAAATAAATAAATAAATAAAAACAATGGTGCCACCATCAAGACAAAAGGATACTCTTTTTCAAATGTGATCCTCAAACAATCAAGTGGTTGTTCATCTTGACTTTTGTGATTTAGACGCGAGACATGGTTCTGTAGTTCTGCCGCAACCAATAGGTACTTATCTTGCTCAATTCTATCTGACATTAATAATTCACTTTCCCCTACAATGGCCCACCTGTCATGTAAAAAAGAGAACAAAATTAAAGATGAAAGAGAACATACTTCAAATTAATTTCAAAAAGTAAAAAAATGTGACATGATATTCAGTATATACAAATAAACTATATATATCTTACCATAGTAATTCATTGGAATCTTTGGAAAGTTTCCAGGCAATATCAAACATCAAGGAAGCAGTCTGTAAAGTAAAAAATAATGCTTATAATACGTGAAGAATGATCTAAAACAGATCTTTACTTCCGAGTATTCCAACAAACAATATGAATATACTGAAGATACTGCTACTTTAAGTTTAAGACACAGTAATACTCAATATGCAACACTCCACTGTATATTCATTTTTAATTTCACAAATTAAGTATAAAAAAGCCACTGCTGATAGGATGCATGTATATATACACTACAAATCTGGGTTCAGATTCCAGGAGAATGTATATATTCACTCCCCTCACTGAGCTCACATTTATACATGTATTATTGAGTTTGGCTAGGAAAAGTTTTTCTCATATTCTTCATAATGAGGTAGATTTAGGATTATAGTGATAGTGATGATGATATTTATAATTATACAAATCCTTTATGGACATGTACTTTCTGAGAATGGTTAATGGTTAAAGCAAACAAACGTGCTGAATATTAAAGGTCATATAACTATGGTAAAGTACTGTGGAAAAAAGGATAAATAGAGAGTTAATGATTTGTATGTCATAGGTTGTAGAACGCTGCAGGATAGAATGGTAGGGAAAGGGCAAAGAGGAGAAGGGGTTAAGGGTATGGGGAGATTAGAAAAAATGGAGAGTATGTGTCTGAGGAAGGGAGAGTAAAATTGTATGATGAAAATTGCAAAAGAGCCATAATGAAATAATTAACAGGTAATACCAGTAGAAATAGTAGCTGGAGAAGTAGATGAGTCCAGAGAATGATGTAAGGGAACAAGGGGAAAGTGGTGATGTAACAGGAAGGATGTCAAGAGGGGAAGAATCCGGAGAAGAACATTATTGCAACATATGGTAGTCATGTGAGTAAAAATATGAATGGTAAAGGTAAAAGGGAAAGAAGAGGGAATGGAGTGAGGAAAGGATGGGGTGTTTTGGGGGAGAGTGGGAGGAAGAGAGGTAGGGGAAACTATTGATGTCTGAGGAGCAGAGGGAGAGATGGGTGTAGGAGAGGCTGTGGCAGATGATGGGGTGGAACGTTTAGATTGCAAGGTGTGAGGTAGAGGAGGAAGAGGAGGAGGAGACGTAGGCTTTGGAGAAGTGGTAGAGATTAGAGTATCTGGATTTAGACTGGAAATGTAATTTGAATGGGGGAGAGGGAAGAAATACTGTAGGAGATGCTAAGACACCTTGAGAAGATGGGAAGGGAGCAGAGCAAAGTACAGTTTTGGAATTGTTGGCATCCTTTCTGTCTGGCCTCATATAGAGTGAGGGTTGGTATGGAGTGAGGTAGTTCTGTGGGGAGGAGGACAGAAAAAGGATGAGTAGTAGTAATAAGGGGGGAGGGGGTAGACAATGAAGAAGACTGTGCAATAGGAGATGGAGTGGAGGATGTTCGGAGAGAGGAAAGAGTAAATTCTGAAGGTTGACCTTGGTGGATGATTCGGAATGGAGAGTTGACAGCAAATATCTAAGAGAGGGTATTAGAATCAGTGGTTGACGCCATGGTCAACGGAGAGGCAAGGGTTAGGAAACCAGAGATATCAAATTTAGATAGCCTAGCTGGTAAAGTAGCAAGCCCTAATGTCCCTAATATGGGGCCATGGTGGGCCTGAAATAAGTGGGAAAAGAAGCAGTCTGCCCACAAGGGATAAAAGCGAGCCTAATTACCAAGAGAATACCGAAGAGAAGGAAAAGGAAACCAGCAGAAGAAAAGAACATGCAAAATAAGTTGAGACAAGGGCTGAGGTCCAGTGTAGGAATAATCCCTTATATTGGGCCTCACTTTCCATCTCTCAAGCTTTCCCCCATGATAACAATGAGCAAGGAATTGGGGGTGGGGGTACTTTCAGAGAAATTGCAATGAAACCTTCCCTGAGCTTTAATTAATCTATTTAGCCTCTCCTGCCATATCTCACTTCAGCCTTCTGCCTTGCCCTATCATGGTGCCTTATAAAGTTTCTCATTGTTTTTCCACCACATGTGTTGTTACCCTCAATGAGGAAAATATAAACAACCCTTTAGTTTGGTGAGGAAAGTGAGTACAACTAGTTTCTGGGGCACAACCCAGATAGGGGGGTAATCAGAATCTAGGAGGTCAATTGCCTTCCCAGTTCCCTCCACCACCAACACTAAATGATACCCTTGGTCGTATTTCAGCGTCTGAGGATAATTTGAAGGACAATAAAAAGTAATTATTACAGTATGCATACTGATAAGCAGCCAATCCTCATTTCCTTTACATTAACCCGTAGCCAACGGGTGGCATGTACGTACATGCCATGGCTGTTGTAGACCGAAAAACGGATGGCATCACATCATGCCCATTCCCGCGTCCCTGGCTCGCCGGACGGAGCTTATTTTTCTCTGATAGTAGCAGCTTCATTTATATGGTAAAGGCAATGGCATCTATAATGAAGGTAAACCTTCAAAATTATATTTTTATAAATTATAGCAAAATAAAAGCTTTTAGATGCCAAATGTCGCTCGCAAACTACCGATCGATCTGGGCGCAAACAGGGGAAACTGCCAATGCACGCTAACAATCCCATTATAATGTCCACTTGACAAACATTTTTACCCATCGGCACTGGATTAAAATACATTAAAGCACTGTTGACTGCATCAAATTGTTGTGAAAGGCATCTTTCTATTTGAACTTACTGAATTCAATATAAATTTTCATATTTTTAGATTTTAACTTGTATCGGAAATATAAGGTGTGAAAGTTAAAAGTTGATAATGACAAAAAGTATGCCTTAAACAATTTGTATTTTCACCATTCTGCATCAATAAAATAATAATAATAATAATAATAATAATAAAAAATTGCATGAACATTCACTTCTTACCGAGCTTCCAAAGTATGAGAACTGTGTATAGTCAAATAAAATCTTGTGACGTTGTTGTTCCCACTGCCGCCTTGCTCTTCGCCTTTCAAGAGCCGCTTCGTCAAATCTCTGCCTCTTGCCCCCCTCCTCATCACTCTCCTCTTCCTCATCACTCTGCGGTATCAAAATAAGAATTGAAGACTAGCATTTTCAAGACAGACCTTACAACTAAAAGAAATTTTCAATTCTATTTCATTTACAATAAATACGCAATTCTATCATGACGATACAAAAATCTTGAATATCACTTTTAAACGTTAAATCTTGTCCTGTAATCTGTGCAACAAAATATGGAGTTACCTTGAATATTTATATATATAGATAGAGGTAAACAAATATGAATATTTATATATATAGATAGAGGTTAACAAATAAACCATGAAGTACAAGCATTGCAAGAATTGTCTTAGCCTTGATACAAGACAGATCCTTTGCATAAGAGAAAAATATATATAATCAAAAAGATCTGATACCTTGAAAATCATAAATCAGATACATATCAAATGATCAATGATTAAAACTAATTAAATTCAAGATCTCACCTCATCCTCTCGGAAGATATCGTCAAACGCTGGAACTTCCTCATCGTCTCCTAACTTTGTCAAGATTCGGACCTGTAGCAGAAGAATTGAAAACATAAATCATATATTCCGACATAAATGTGTGTATACATAATGTATATCTAGATCTGGAAACTCTACAAGTCCACAATAGTACATGTGTAAATAACAATGAACAAAATATGACAAATGAAAAGTAAACTCTCTTCAGTATCTAACTGGTAGTTCTATTTTATCAATTCTTGTGGTTGGCCAAAGTTTTGTACTTGAAGACTATTTCTTTTTACATAACATTCTGTAGGGTTGTGCAATGGAAAAGGGTTTACATAAAAATTGTAATAGAAAGAAGCATTCTTTTTAACATTCTTGCACACAGCAGCCACTACTGTCCCTGTGTTTGTTGATGCTGCAGCAGTGTACCAACTAACATAGTTATACATTCAGGCAGGAGTGTGTAGATTGCTTCCTTATGACTATAAATTTCCAGGGTGTATCATCAACCCATATGTCAGATCACAACTAAAAAATCCTTCTATAAAAGTACTTCTCCCTGCTATGATTATGCTAGAAATGCCATGCTGAGGTTCAAAGAATTTCAGACAAAATACCGATACACAATAATCAAAACTAAGTTGTTCTTGCTACTAATTTCCCATTGATGAAATAGATGAAAAGCAGACAGACTTTCTCAGAAGAATTGAAAGATCAAAATTTCATATTCAACACTTAGGATATCCAAACAATTTAAATAAAAGAATTAATTTGCTGGTAATAACTGAAATAGCGAAACACTGATGGTTCCATTTTTGATCAATAGTCTCTTCAGTCTTTTTATTAATTCTCCTAAACTCTCACAGTATGCTTACCTGATCAGCATTGTAAATATTGCAGATATCAAGGGGTCTATGGTTGTCAGCTACAAAGAAGATGATATCTTCTGGCGGTTGGAGAATGTCCACAATGTCTACACATCCACCGCAATTTAGCAAGATGATATGCTTAATCTGAGGATAAGAACAGATATTGCAGTGGGGTCTAAATCTAAAAAAAAAAACTACTGTACATATATTCTTTTTCTTTTTCAGAAACATTTAGAAAACCCCTGTATATCAACCAGTGGCTTTATGCTCATTGATGCAACCACTGTCAGGCCAACAAATCTCCACAACAAACATCCTGCCAAATTAATGAGCTGGAAAGCCTCCTTAGCAATCTATTATCAAACAGGAAGAAGCCAAATTTCCATCTTACTGAAACAGATGTGGAGGTTTCTTGTGGTTTGTCAGCACAGGGATCATGGCTGCTTGACAATGCACCTCTACTTTGTTCAACTTCAGTGATGCCAAAGCCCAATAATTGTGTGTTTACATTACTAAGATAGAAAGGTTTTCTAAATGAAAATAAATAGGATCCAAGAACACTGTGGATCTAGCCATACACCCACTGATCTGAGAACTCTGATGTATCCTACTACTTCCACTATATCTTCTATATCTTCCACTCTATAAGATGGCGGTGTCCATTTCCCTCAATCTATGCACATCGCTCTTAAACTTTTACCAGATTAATCCTTATGGTATGGATGTTTTAAGCTAAGGAAAATTGAAGATCATATTCTTATAGAAGGCATAAAGTTATAGTCATCCATACAAAAAATAATCTGCAGACAGTACCGCCATAAATAAAAGAAAATGGTCACGAAAAGCACCGCCACACAGCCCAAGTCCACTCGATCCTCCCAAGCTTCAGCTCTATCTTGCTGTGCATACCAAGGTGAAAACAATCTTTCCCTGGGGGTTTTAGAGGTAGAACCCCCCCCCCTATCAACCCTCCTCTTAGGCCTAAAGGGCATGCCCAGTCACAGCAATTCGGAAATGTTGAATAAAATTTGCGACATGGAGACAGGGACTTGGTCTCTGGGAAGTGCGTCCATACTGTCAAGAATTACCAGATTATGTAGGCCTATATAATGAACATATACCAATTCAATTTTTCATTTTATGAATAATCTTCAAAATAATTTATAAAATTTTTCATTAACTGATAATTCTATATTTACCCATCTTACCCCTAATCATGAATGTCAAAAGCTCACCACATGATTCAGTAAAATGCATACCTGTTCAGCATGTTGTTGATAGGCATTTATGAGATCTGTTCGCGTTTTGACAGGAACGACTGTGTACAGGATGTGGTCGGTGCGGAAGAGAGACTGTAGGATTTTGCTCGCACATATGCCATCAATGTCGAAATGTGCGAGAACAAGGATGCGCTGCGGTGGGGGAAAACAAACCCTGTATGTAGGTTAAAACATTCACAAAACATATTAAAGCATCGTATAAAAAGAACAAATAAATTTCATAGGTATTACTTCCATTTAAATGTCTTTTTTCCCTTTAAAGTTCTAAAATGGTGAAGAATAATTCTAAAATATCCTGAATATCTTTATCAAAGTTATTAATGTTTCCCTCTCATTTTCTTCTGTATTTTACTTCTTTACATCAATTTTATTATGCATAGGCCTACCGAGATCTTATATTATCAAAATCATTTGAAAAGGAAAATAAAAAACATAGTTAAGGCATAAACACGTAACATACCAAACCCACTAGATACACTAGAACCATGAATGAGAGAAATTAAATAAATCTTACACAGAAATAAACGAAATAAGTTCATAAAATCCGATCAAAATCTTTGCGATCAATCACTTGATAACCCGGTTGGATTGCAAAGTTTCTTATTAACCTTTCTTTCAGTCTTTTTTAATGAATCCTCTGTGTGTAAGTCATTTACTCTCAAGCCTAGTGTCTTGTGCAATGTACCTTTCCTCTAATCACGTCGTAGAATTCCTTCCGGAGGTCAGAAACCAGCATTTTTGCAACACTTGCATGTGAAACTCCTTCGCGCTTGTTTACAAATGCTTTCGGCAGATTTTGGCGCCAACATTCTATGACGTCACTTTCCTTGGCGAGTTGTGATTGGCTACTTTCCGAGATTTCGACCAATCAGAACTCGCCTTGGATAAACAGTTACAGAAAACGGAATTCCTCCATAGAAAACGGAGAGGTCGGAACAGCTGATGGGAACTCAAAATTGTTTCGGGAGGAATTTGGCGCCAATGTCCTATGACGTCATCCGCACATGACGGGTTGTGATTGGTCATCCTGAAGAGATTGTCCAATCGAAACTCACTCTGAATCAATTACTGTATATGAAAGATTTAAAAGACGTGAAAATTGTTGAACTAATCGTGCAACGCAACACTCGGTCAGCACCATCTATAATGAGTATTACAGAGTTACAGAAGAGAATAACGAATGACATTTATTTATTTATTCATAAATGCATGGTGCGTCATATTGCCTCTCATAGCAGAACTAATATCATAAAATGTGAAATCAATCGGAAGTTTCTAGATCCATAATGGGTTTCTTGATCTCATATGGGAACTATGCAAAATTGTGTGAGGTCCAACCCATTGAATATTAATTACACGGACATGCAAACATATACACAGACATAAATACGTATCTATCAGTCTAGATATCCATATCTTCTGGATAGATAGAAAGATAAATGTATATCTATCAGAAATACAGATATCCATTTATTTCTGTGTATATACATGCCCGTATATAGTGAATATTCATTGAGTCAGGCCACAAGTTTAACAAACTGGCCTGATAAAACCAAATTATGTAGTCGTACTGATGATAATAACAAGTATACATATGAAGAGGTAGATCACTGATGAAAATGCCACATATTCAGACAAAATACGGAACTGACATGATTAAAACACAATTTCCGCCAGACATACATGCAGACGATAACCGTACAGATAGCAGGGCCATCTCTTATTGAGTCCCACAATTAACACGGAGTTTCCGATCTTTGCTATAGTTCCCGGTGTCATTTCCCCATAACAGAAAACGGACTCGGCTTCACAGAGAATGGGAAGTTCAAAACAGCTGATGGCAGCTCAAAAATCAATGCGGGAGTCGCCGCCGGGAGTTCTCGGGATTTTTCTTAAGAATACCAGTGACGGAGGACCTTCCGGAAGAATTCTTAGTGACGGTAAGTTTGATTGGTCGTCGGGAGTTAAAATGGATCCGAGTGTAATGGCGATTAACCGCATGTTAGCAAGTATACGGGGAGCGATCGTGAAGGTGGTTCCTTGCTCTGGCATGCAGACTGCCGCAGTTGAGTGGGTGTCATGCAATAGTGCCTGACCTACATTCACGGAAACCTCATACCCGTGTGATGTGTATCTGTCAAGAGCCGTTGTGTTGTGATGCGGAATTAATAATGGCTGTCACTACGGGGAATTTTGATATTATATGAAACCCCAGTGACAAGGAACCATGGACGAACTATTTCGATTTGATTTTATAATAAAACATTTTTTTTTTTTTACTTCTCACTTTAATGTTTGTGTTTATTAGAATTTAAAACCCACAAGGCCTCATAATTTTCTTCGCTGCTAAAATTCCTTTCTGGCTTGAAGGAGTTTCAGTGAAATTGTGAAGATCATTCAACTTCATGAAACAAATTGATGTTATGCAAGTTGATAGATCCTGATAATCCTGTTTTCAATTAAAAATCTTTTAACCAGATATGATGTTTCAGTTTAAAACCAGAAGCTGATTGCAGTATCGTGTTTGTTGCAATCAGAGAGCACTGAACAAAGATTTATTTGAGAGTAATCGTAACAACTTTATTGCATTTATTGTACTTTAATTTGATGCAGTATTATGCGAAGATGAGTGTAATTAGGTAGAGAAATGTGTAAGTAATGAAAGAAAATGTCATAGCTTCTGAACTTTGTAATCATATAGGACAGTTTTAAAGGATTTTAATAGAAAAAACTGCTGTCATTTTATATAGATGTTGGAGAATGCAGGATACCCTGTAGGTTTTTATTTTCAAAAGTCGTGAGGGAGATAAATAGCATTTGCCGCTGGTTATTAGTTAGTTTTGGTCAGTTTGATTTTTTATTTAATTTTAGAAATTGTATTACGTGCTGTATGCTGACATTTGTAATTGAAGTACAGTTGGATCTGTATAGGCTTTGATTTGTTAAATATTCTTACATATGTGATTTCCTCATGCTCATTCTCAATTTTATAATTAAAATAAACAAGCATTTTTATCGTTTGTGTGATCAGAAGGCATTAATACGTATAAAATGATATGGTTAGTCTTGAATTACAAATCTCATATATCATTCTAATCTTTACTTCTCTCGTAATTTTAAACAGAAAAGTCTAAATAATATATATTTTCATAGCCTCTTATAATGAATTCATTTGATACAGTATTACATGAAAAGTTTATTTTCATAAAGCACTTTTCCAAGTTTATTGTGACAGATGTTGATAAAAGTATGCAAGTGACTGAATAGCATTACAGCACAAAAGATACAATTAAGGTATTTTAGGTGAATATGCTAATCTGTTTTGATGTTAGGATTGTAAAAAGGTGCAAATGATATCAGCATATAATATCCAAGGAAGTCACAATCATGGATCACATCTAAATGCCCTAACAATGCACCTCTCATTATACCCCAGTGGCATCCACATCAGAGTAGATAAGAGTAGTTTCGTAAACATACCCAATCAACCATGGCTCCCCCATCCCCCTCCCCCCAAATATATATATATATATATATATATATATGAATATAATACCTGCAAGAGAGGTTTTGAAACTCAGCGATGACAAAAAATAACCAGAAATAACCAGATTATACTATTGGTCCAAAGTTTATAATGAGTCAAAAGTAGCATCCAGGCTAGTTATTTGTAGACTTCAGTTATATTTTGCTAATTGTGTGCTCTGCTTTGCACAAAGTTGAGTTAAAATGCAGTAGAACCGCTAGGAAGAGGGTAGAAAGAGATATCATTGCAGTAGACTTTATGTTTGTTTGCCCTTCGCCATACCGCTAACAGTTGTATAGTCAGTTGTGATTCCTTGTCAACAATGTGTTATGCTATTGATAATTTATAATGGTTTACAAAAATAACTTATTATATAGTTTTATACTCCAAAATGTCCTACAGACAGCAAGAATCAAGTGCATTGTTATATGATTGTGGCCTCTCACTCTAGAGAAATGTGGTGGTGAGGGGGTGGGGGTGGATGTTAACTTGGAAACCAATTTAGCAGAAAATAACATTGGATTCAGTACAGTCGCATCAAAATAAACAAGAAAACATGCATCTTAACAGTGAAAGTCATGGCTGTCACAAACCAAGAATTTACCAAATTTACTAAAGGAATCCGTAAAAATGCAAGTCAGGCATAAAAATTTCTGCTTTTAAGGCCAACCGTCTGACACACTCAGAAAGACTTGTAGGACTTGTGGACCATTTAAAACAAAGCACTCGGGTGTGAATTTTCCGTTGGTTTTACATATATTTCATTAAGCCATACAACTTCATACTCAATGTCTGGAAGTACTCTGCTATGATTTTTCTGTCTTTGCCTCTTTCTTATTTGTTTTATTGATCTTGATTTTTCATAGAACTATCTTGATGACAATTATGTGGATAGGATATGATGGCAAAGTCACAAGAGAAAGACTTTTAAGGTCCCTCCATTTTTCAGTGTCCCTACTTCTTTGCCCACTTTGTTTCATGATATATTTGAAGAAAAAAATATGCATTGCTTTTATTCAAAGTCTCTAAGGATTAATATCTAATGGTGTTAGTTACTTACCAACTGTTAGTTAGTTAGTTACCAACTTGGTGTAAGTTCAATCCCTATATTTTGATAAAGTTACTACCATTAGTTACCTTTTATACATAGATTTAATATTTTTTTCTATTTCTACAAAATGTCTGATTAACAAGAGAATTTCCTTCTTGTAATTTCCTTGTAATTTAAAGAAATAGAATTTAAACTTACGGGTACTTTCATTTGAATTATAACTGAGGTTCCTTGACATGTGATTGCAATAATGAATGAAAAGGATAATGATGAATTAGTAAGTTTTTAAAAGAATAATGCTTTAGGTATATTTTTACATATTAGCAAGCCACCATTTATTTTTAGTCACTTTTCGGTATCCTATTAACTACCATGTCAGTCATACATATAAGAAGATTATCAAATTATGTCAGTTATTGACTTTATATGTATATGTAATAAGCACTTTAGCACTTAATTCTAGAAAGGCACTAAATAGCACAGGGTTTAAATGATGAAATTAGATGACATATAATGAGAACCAAAGTGACACAAAAAAAAACACTTACAATGTGAACTATAGTGACAGAAAAAAAAAAAACACATTCTGCACATGTTTCAATGAAGAAATTAGTAGATGACATACAATGAGAACCAAAGTGACAGAAAAAAAAACACTTACATTCTAGACGAATACAGTTTACAGGAGGTTCCCACGCTTCAAAATAATTAAATTCTCGAGTTTTCCTGGTTTTATGGAGAGTTTAGCAAACCTTACATACCAGACCCAGTAATATTGCATTCTAGGCCTTGAGTACACTTGGCCAAAGGAGGGTCATGCCACTTGTCAAGTTTTACGGAATGTTTTCTTTTTCGGATTAAGATTTAAGATGGATCGTTATGTATATGCTTCTTCTTCTTCTTCTTCTTCTTCTTCTTCTTCTTCTTCTTCTTCTTCTTCTTCTTCTTCTTCTTCTTCTTCTTCTTCTTCTTCTTCTTCTTCTTCTTCTTCTTCTTCTTCTTCTTCTTCTTCTTTTCTTCTTCTTCTTTTTTTTTTTTTTTTTTTTTTTTTTTTTTTTTTCTTTTTTTCTTTTTGGGCTTTAGGA